ACTCTACCATATGAGCAGCAGCTACAGAGCTCATCAATGATAAATGTGAAGACAGGAATCTGAGTGTACTACTATGAATTACGTTCAGTGTAATAAGTCTAGTTTTTGAAGTCTAAGACTATCTCTTCACTACTTATTATCCATTCATAAGTCAATATTTTATCCAACCCAACTAGGAGAAGTATATCTAATAGTTCTGTAGTTTTCATACTAGTAGAGAATAAACAGCTCTATTGAATACGTTTAGGAGATTGGAATGAAGGACTGAGAACAACAGGCTTTGGTCAAGGCTAATTGTTTTGAAGCCAAAGAAATCGAGTTGATGGGTAACAACTTGAGGAAAGCAAGCTGACCATATGTAGGAACACTGCTCTTGAGTATATGTTACAGAATATTTTCTATAAACATTGCCTCTCTAAATCTACCAGTGAATATAGTTGTAAAATGGTATTCAGTTTCATGTAAGGGTCAGGACAGTTAGTTTATCTAACAGCATTTCATTTATTAACAGCTATCTCCCTCTTTTCGTCAAAGACAAAAAACAAGGTTATCTTCCTTTTGCTTTTGCTGTCGGATACTCATTACTAGTGAAACTCATTCGGCTTGTATATTATATAAATAGGGAAGCATCGGAACAAAGCCTTATAATCAACATTGCTTGAGTAAGTAAGTCATTTCATTATTGTATTCACTAACAGTGATCACAATGGTTTTGCAATAGTACAGCCGAATGAATAAATCTTCGTTGAGCAATTCGGAAATCGCTTCAACATTACAGAGTACCACGAATTTCTATCAACCTCATTCAACAGCTATATGAAGACGCCGCATGCCAAGCGATTCACAATAGAAAGCTCAGTGACGCCTTTGAAGTGAAGACAGGGGACAGGAGCGAGACAAGGCTACCGCCTACTATCACCGAACATCTTCCTGATTGTGGTCAACTGGATTATGCAACAAACTGTGAGGAGCGAGAAGAGGGGCATACGCTGGCTGGAACGATGAAAAAATCCTAGAAGGCTTGTATTTCACCGATGATGATCTATGACTAATATCTTGTCGCACAAAGTCGAATATCTGCAGGCAAGAACTAACAAGTTGACAGAAGAGGCGAGCGAGGCAGGGCAGGGCAGGGCAGGGCAGCGAGGATGGGACTTCAAGTGAACGTAGAGAAGATAGAGGTGATGAAGCTACGCAACCAACAACAACCACGAGAACAAGCACCAATCATCATCGACAGGAGAAACCTGAAGGAAGTTGTCCCTCTCACCTACCTAGACAAGGCAGCCTCATTTCAACTACAGGCGACGGCGGCACACATAAGGACGTCAAAGCCACCATCGGAAAAGCAAGCAAGACAGGCCTTCCTGCATTAACCTGAAACCAGTGTGGAGGTCTACTGCACTGGACTCAGCATAAAGCGTGAACAACATACGGATTTTCAACACTAATTCAGTCAAGCAAGTCAGTGCTTCTATGTGATGTTTGATAGACTTGATGCATTGCGAAAAGCATTTCCAACAAACTACAGACATTCATCAACAACTACCCCCTACGCTCACTCGATACTGACACTGAAGATGAGATGGATGTGCAGAAAGAATAAGCAACAAGGGACTCTGGCTGGCAACGACCCAACCAAGAACCCATCGCACAACAAATATGCAGGAGGAAGTGGAGATGGATTGGATTGGGCATACACTGAGAAGGACGACTGGAGACATCGCGCGTCAGGCCAGGGCTTCGAGTGGAATCCGAAGAGGAGACGACGAGTTGGGCGTCCGAGGCGAGGGTGACATGGAGGAGATCGTGTGAGGAAGAAATGAGAGGTTGTGGGCAGTCGTGGATGCAGGTTGAAAAGACTGCAGAGAAGAGAGTGCAATGGAGACGTGTAACTGAATCTCTATGTTCCACTAGTAACCAATGTGACAAATACTAATAATTAAGAATATTTTTGTCTTTTGCCAGCGGATATAATGAATGAGGGTCACTCTTACACATGACTGACTTGTAGCCATCCTGTTATTAGAAGAGGTTTTTTCGTTAATGGCACATTGGATGTATGTGAGAGTGTCGTCTGTTATAAAATAGCTGACATAAGGATAGATGTTTGACTGAGCATCTTTACTCCATCAACCAATGAATGAATAAAAGTTGCTTGATCCAGCGCTGGGAGTTTTCCCCGTATGCAATATGAAAGATATAATGTTTCCGTCTTACTTGGCGCGTCAGAAGATGCGTGTGAAGTCTCAGTAGTCGGATTATTTGGACTTCTATGCATGGCAATTGCATGTTTTGGCACATGAAGGGCATTTTCCATTGCGCAAACGATAAGTTTTTCGGAGATGGAACTACTAACAAGCGTAACACGATCTGAAGTCATTTTGCCTCTGGCTAGTCAGCGGAATATTTATGTCGTTGTCTGCAAGTCCTCTATCATTCTTAGATTTTACCGGGAAATCTTATGAGTGACAACTGTACGGTGAATTGTTAACAGCCACACGTTTGACTGTGACGAAGATTGAGTAATATGACCATTACCAACATCCATGTAGGTGACAAGCAAATCTTTGACTTTTCGGGATGCGTAAGAAAAAACTTGGGTTAAATATTCAACCTTTGGAATAATGAAACCCACCTTTGGACTGTTGTGCGTTCGATTTTACAGCTGGTCACCAAACTTAACAGTCTGAGGTTTCGCTTGAAGACGAAGAAAGTGTAGAATCCGTTGACTGGAAGCGCAACAAAGCCTATTTAGGTGGAATTTTTGATTCTTTTAAAGCAAGTTGCTTGGAAACGATGCAGTAGAAGAGAGAAACGGGCTTTTCAGCAGCTGTAAGAATCTTTGACCAGGCGCATGCTTCGCGGCCGATTCCAGAATTGAGGTCATGAGGTGTGATTTCATAAAGCGGGGTCCTTTGATGAACGCTAAGATTAAAAGTAGCTGACGCAATCTACTTTTCATATAGAGGTGTTGGTAAGCAGATCTTGAGGTTGATGGAACCTATGTAAAGAAAATGTGTCGAGAATTTTTATTTTGGTTAACAGTGATAAAACTCGCGAAGATTGAATGATTCCACTTAACAGATGGCAGTCAGTAGGTAGAAGTAGATGGTCATGACAGGTGGCGCAATATGGTAGTTGAAAGCCACCCACGCATAACAACCTGCATATCCGTGCCTATAAAGGTGAAAAAGTCGATACGTTTGTTCTATGGGTAAGGTCGAACTGGGTTGACGAAGTTACAACACTTGGATACCAGATTCAAAATGCCTAGGTTCCATATTAATATTCACGTTTGTTGTTGAGGTTAGAGAGCTGTTAGTCTATAATAATCGTTTTCCATCAGATCTACGTGCTCTTCCAGTCCTCTTTCAAACGAGCTGATTGATGGTGCGAGCGCCACTTCTTTTTGGAGTTGGTTTCAGGGGTTGATTACCGGACGCGAGAACCAGTACTCTGTGGTGATTATGTTTGTCGTTTGCTTTTGTATTCTCCTGCTATGTCCTCCGAATTGTCTCGACTAGGTGGGAAAGGAAAAAGAGGATTAACCAGGTCCAGAAATTCACTTCTTAGAACCATGTAAAGCATGATTAGATCTCCCCGCTGCCCGCGATCAGATAAAGAGAAGAGGTTCAGCTCCTTAAATCAATACCGATAAGCCAGGCCGGCAATCTCAGGAATAACACGAGTGGCCTCCCTCTGAACCTTCACTACAGGGTCTGAGGTACCCTTCAGACAAGGATTTGCGGCCTGTGCGAAGTTTTATAGTACAGACTCAACTAAGGATGTGTACAGGATGGTGAACATATCACTGCGTGTTTTCGTATGCTTTCTGCGTAATGCTCAGGGCTCTAAACTCCGAGGTGTGACCGATCGGCTGTGCACTTTGGTTTTGAAATCACAATTCACCTTGACCCCTAAGTCATAGGGGGACAGTAGTGAGGGTAGAGGAGCCCTGCCAATGTCGTAGATGTTGCCATCTGTGTCCTGCACGTGCCTACTTACACATTAACCTGCTTTGGCAGGCACCAGTCACTTCTCTGCCTAGGTAAACAAGCTGTTTAGGTCTGTCTGAGGCGGACGTATATCCTGACCATCCCGATTTCCAACCAGATTTTTCCATCTTCAGAGTAGAGAACCATAGGGGATTTAGTGATATTCGGCAGCTCGCTTATGTATCGGAGGCACAGCAAAGACCTAGGACTGTAGCCTGAGAGACTCCGTTCCCTACCAACTTCCAGGAAAAGAGCTAAGAATTGATCTTTACTCTCTGTCCTCCACCGACAAAGAACTCTGTGATCTATGAAAGCAGGTTGTCGGTGCTTCTAAAACTTTCCCGTTTCCTGAGAAACCTGGAATGAGGTACCCTGTCAAATACCTCACTGAAGTGAATGAAAATGATATCAACAGATATCTTATCACCTACAGGCCTAACTTAAATTTTGCTGACTTTGAGAAGGTTTGTGAAGCAAGAGAAATTTCTGCGAAAGCCATGGTGCAAACAGGACAATAAAGTATTGCTCTCCAAGTGAACTGAATTGGCTGCTTTGGTAACTATTTTCAGGATTTATATTGCACCACTGTTCAAACGTATCAGTCTGTAATTCTATGGGTGGTGCCCAGAACCTGCCTAGTAGATAGATGTGACCATAGCATCTTTTCGATCATAAGTGTGCTTTTACAGGGGGGCAGTCTTAACATTTTAGTCAGTGGACCAGCTACATACAGTGTCAGCTCTTTATGCAACCTTGAATGCAACTCATCCGTTCCTGTTCATTTTTTAACATTCAGAGAACATATGTTCGAAATACTCCATTGTGATCCATGTCCACAGAGTTTATTCTATTAAATCTTTATGTTGTACTATTAAAATTATGTAAAGTTTCCAAGTTCTGATCTAAAAAGAAGAACCGAAAGCGGAATTCAGTTGGAAGGATTAGAAGTCAAATATCTCGTTTTAACTCATAACTTGCTAACTCACTTAGCTTCCAAAACCAGCGCTGGTTATGATGCATGATGGATTTTGGTAATTTATTTATAACTTTTTATGAGAATTTGATCAAAGAAAGAGTCAGTTTTTCAATTCAAAGACTCAATAAGGATTCAATGGAAAAAGGAAATATCCGCCTACAACATTTGACAGGCCAAATTAATTCTATTTTACAGTCCGACTTATTCGCTAGATGTTATGATATAGTAAATGTCATTCATTTTCATCCAGTAACAGTAAGTTGAGAGCATTTACACATGTTATTTCCTTACTGAATTTCATTTCTCGCTTCTCAGCAAAACAACAAAAGTTTCTACTGTTTTCCAAAATGGACGTTAGGAGATTTATTGCAGTAATCTGTGGTCACAATCTGCTGTTGTTTTCTCATATGAAGTCGGTATGAAGCTTTTCTACTATCGTCACTGATGGTATCCTCTGTTTTGGCAGATTATATATATATATATATATATATATATATATATATATCCACAACCTGTGTAATATTACAGAAGAGAGATGATTGATTCGCAAGAGTCTGGTTATGTTACTGCTTCTAAACACGTCACCGATCCTACATAAGTCGATGTATATTCTAAACGAAATAATAATTGCTTCATTTGCATGTAATTGCAGATAACAAAAGGCTAAATGAGATAGTTAGGTAACTCAGCAAAACAGTGTATTTATATCTGCGGTCAAAAGGTTACTTTTGGAAAAAGGTTGTGACTTGTCTACCTATAATTTGCCGACATTTGACTCCGAGAATATGACTGTAGGTTGGTAAAAGTGAGCGAAATGGCCGTTCTCCGGAAATGGACGCCGAAACCTTTAGAAAAACCCAAAGACTTGGGGCATACACTAATGCCTTATCAGGTTATTTAGCTAATGCCTGTATATTCATTTACTTACATTGAACTCAATGGTATTAAAGCACTGAGGAGGTACATTACAGGCTAACAAATTTGAGCTTATGGACAACTACGCAGCTATAAATCATATAAACTGGTTCATCCCTCTTTTTCGAAATTTTTAGATTTTGGTTCTTTACAGTTTCTTTTGAATTGACAGACGAACTGGTGGAGGTTATCAATTTTCATTCGGCACCGACAAGTAGCTGAGTTGTTAGATGTGTGACACTCCAAACTCAAATTTAAAAGAAGCGGAACCGTCTGGAATTGCTTAGAAAGTTATAAGTGACTCATTTCACTGTCACAGTACAGGTTATCATGAACTGAGTTTGAGCCAGCAACGTAAAATACTTTCAGAATTGGTAGTTCTGAAGTGTTAGGAAACTAGCATTCTAATAACTAAAATTTGGCGCCGACAAAATAGTATGTCAGATAAATTATTCTCCATGTTTTTGAAGTTGTGGTTGATGTTGGAAAAATCCACAAACAACTTCCCAAAGTCCGTGAATAAAATGACTGCCCATGGTCTATGAAAGGATAGTCATTACTGAAAAATAATACAGACGACTAGTTGCGTTATTTGGAATAAATAGTGAACTTCTTCGTTATCTTGATTCCAAAACCAGAGAAATATATAGTTAGACTCTTAACCTGTCTCTTTATTACGTCTCAGTAATATGTGACTAGGAATATCAAATGACGTTTGTCTGAACAGCTCCTGGCTTATTTACATAAAAAAATGGATTTACCCTGAAAAGATTTATAGACTAAAAACTTTCACTTGGAGTAGACGCTGTACAACAAGAGGACTATTTTCATGGAAAAGGAATATAGTTTCGGTGCTTGAAGCAGTGGTTCCTTTATAAAGATAGCATATTATGAACAGTAATAATAAGACCTATAAGTTGGTGACTTGCAGATAAAAGACTTGCTTGTTATGTGTAATATGCTACTGCCTGCACAGATTTTCGTCAGTTTACTGCACTCTGACGGCATGAAAAAATAGGGTAAAAAGAAAAGAATGATATGAAAGTCAGTAATGTTACTAAGGGGACAGAACAATTAAAGGCAGCTTTATTATTATTTATTTATTAGTCCCTTGGGTTCCCAATGGAATATGGGGCTTCAGTAGCACGTCTCCAGTGACCTCTGTTCTCTGAAATCTTTTGAACCTAGCTCCACGACAGCTTACAAGCTCTCATTTCCTCCTCGCACGATCTCCTCCATGTCACCCTCGGACGTCCAACTCGTCGCTTCCCATGGGGATTCCACTCGAGCAACTGGCCTGACGCATGATGTCCCCAGTTGGTCTTCTCAGTGTACACCCAATCCATCTCCACTTCCTTCTGCATATTTGTTGCGTGATAGCTTCTTGGTTGGTTCGTTGCCAGACCAGAGTTCCTTGTTGCTTATTCTTTCTGGCCATCTGATCTTCAGTAAAAAGCGTAGGCAGTTGTTGATGAATGTCTGTAGTTTATTGGAAATCCCTTTCGTAAAGCGCCGAGTCTCTGAGCCATACAGAAGCACTGACTTGACGTTGGTGTTGAAAATCCGAATCTTGTTCCACATGTTGAGTGCAATGCAGAAGATCTGCACACTAGTTTCAGGCTAATGAACGCTTGTCTTGCTTTCCGATTCTGACTTTGACATCCTTGTCTGTCCCGCCCGTAGTTGAGACAGTGCTCCCTAGATAGGTGAAGGAGGTTACTTCCTTTAAGTTTCTCCCGTTGATGGTGACTGGAGTTTGTTGTTGTTGTTGCGGTTTGTTCATCACTTCTGTCTTCTCTATATTCACTTGAAGTCCTGTCTTCGCTACCTTTTCTGTCAAATTGTTAGTTTTTGCCTGTAGATCTTCAAGTTTATGTGACATTATGCACAAGTTATCGGCGACATCCAGATATTCTAGGTTCTTTTCCACAGTCCAGCCAGCTTACCCCCTTCTTCTCGCTCCCCACTGTTTGCTGCATGATCCAGTCCAGTCGACCACAATCAGGAATATCATGGGGGATAGTAGGCAACCTTGTTTCACTCCTGTCTTCACTTCAAAAGCATCACTGAGCTAGCTTCTCATTGTGAATTATTTGGCATGTGGCACCTTCATATAGTGTTGAATGAGGCGGATAAAGGTTTGCGGTACTCCGTATTAATGAAGCAGTTTCCAAATTACCTCTCGGTCGACGCTGTCAAAGACCTCAAAGTCGATAAAGTTGAGGTGTAGAGTTGACTGCCATTCTACACTCTGTTCTATGATGATGCAAAACGTTGCAATTTGATCCGCACATGATTTGTACTTCCCGAAGCCTGCCTGTTCCGGTCGTAGTTTTGAATCCAGTGCATCCTTTAGCCTCTCCAGAATGAGGCGGCTTAATATTTTGCTTGCTGTGGGTGGACAAGAGAGTGATTCCGCGCCAGTTCTTGCAAACACTGAGGTCTCCCTTCTTCGGGAGTTTGACGAGGTAGCCTTTCTTCCCATCAATCGGCAGTTACTTTCCCTTCCTTCCAGACCTTCTGCAATAGTGGTGTAGTGTGAGCATGTCCGCTGTTGTCTCTGCGTCTGTTTTCAGTGCTTCTGGAGGGATCCCACCTGGTCCTGCTGCTTTCCCACATTTCAGTAGCTTTATGGCTTTCAGGACTTCCACTTTTGTTGGAGGATTTATGCTCACTTGTAGTTCAGCGGCTGCAGGTGGTATTTCTGGACGAAGTGCAGGTGTTGGTCGATTCAAGAGCTTCTTGAAGTGGTCGGCCCATTGTTTCCTTTGTTTCTCTTCTTTCGTAATTAAATTTCAGTCATCATCTTTCATTGGTTTCATCTGATTTGATCTCTTCCCAGATAGCAACCTGGTTATTTGATACAATGTTGTCAGGTCTCTGTCTCTCTTACCTACAGCCTGTTCTGCTTCACTTGCCAGTTTGTCGTGGAAGTCTCTCTTGTCTTTGCGTGCACTCTTCTTCACTTCTTTGTCCAGCGTAGTGTTTTATACATTGTGCTCAGTTCCTCTTGTCGTTGGGCATCCCTGCACTGGTTTATCTTCTGTTTCACCATCCTCCTCTCCTCTATCAGCTTCCATATGTCCGTTGAGATTAATTCTTTTATCTTCTTTCTTCTTCCTTCGTAATATGGTTATGCAGATGTTTCTCCACATAGCTTTCAAAGAGTTCCAGTGTTCATCCACACAGGTTTCTTCAGGGATGTTGCTCGATATCTCCCATTTTGTCTTGATGGCAGACGTGAAGATTTCCTTTGTAGTTTCGTCCTTCAGTTTCCGAGTGTTGTACTTGGACTGTGGTCTATCACCAGCTTCCTTGTAGGCTTTCAACTTGATTTGGAAGGTTCCTTGCACTAGATAGTTAGTGGTGTGAACCTACATCTGCTCCTCTTCTTGACCTTGTGTCAAGTAGACTGCGTCTCGATTTTCTTGAGATTGAGATAAAGTCGATTTGATTTTTAGTGTGTCCATCTGGTGTCTGGTGAAATCCATGTGGCTCGCTTTGTGGATATCCTTGTGCTTGAACACAGTGCCCCACTCCAATCACCAAATCGTTGAATGCACAAAATTCTGCAAACAATTCTCCATTCTCGTTCATCACCTCACCGAGTGCTTCTCGACCCATGGTTAGTTCTCTTCCCGTGTTGTCCACTACCAGTTTAATTTGCATTCATGTCACACCACCCATTAGAATTTCGACATCGCCAACTGGAGTGGGGTCTTGTCGAGTGTCGATTGAATTTGTCTGTAGAATTCCTCCTTTTTCTCTTGCTCTGCATTATTTGTAGGTGCGTAGCATAGCATTATACGACTGTGACTTTCCTTCCTTTTGAGTTGAACCTTGCTGTCATGATCCTGATGCTGCAGGGGGAGATTGGTTCCCACTGCATGACAGCCTGCGATGCTTTTGGGGACATCATGATAGCCACTCCGAAACTCAGTGTTCTGTGCTGGTGGTTGTCATCTGGGTGACAATATCGGAGTAGATTATTGATTCTCCAGTTGACAGTTTGGAGGGCCCACTCCCATTCCATCTGCTTTCACAAATTCCAAGCACTTCGATGTGATTGATACCTCTTCATCTCGTTTGCAATCTGGGCTGCCTTGCCAGCCAGCTTCAAACATGTTGCGGACATTCCATGTCCTCACGTTTACTTTCGCTTTAATTGAGAGTAGACACATCGGCCTGCCAATTGGCTTCCTGAAGGCTTTCACCAACTGGCGTCATTTCGTCTCTCCGATTCGAGGGAGGAATAATTTTGTTATTATTTTTATATTTTGTTTGTGCTTTGAAGTTTCTTTAGCGGTTGGATTTGTTTTACGGGGTAGGGTTGCTAGTCCTATGCCCAACCTTCCCTTTTTACCTGGGCTTCTGACGGGCTAGTAACTAGTGAACCAGTTAACCAGGCTAGGTTATTAAAGGCAGTTAAGTTAGCATACTCAAAAATTCAGAGCTGAAAACCAATGAGAATAATAACGTGATTGTATTCAAGTCACTTGGTTAGGAGTGTCCAGCAGTTGGTTACTGATAGTGAGAAAACATGATTAGAAGATAGATGCACAGGATATCATAGGCAAAAAGACTTAGTATTAGTATAATTGCTTGTATACATGTTTACTGAAAATGCATCATCTGTTTTAAACTGAGTCCTTTGAACGCACATTTTTGCTGATTATCCCATAAAAACTTGGAATTTAATTTACTATATATTTATTAATATTTTAACTCTAAAAAAGTATGCCATTGAAATTTCAATAGGATAGCTAAAGTATACTGAAGTCAGTGTTAGTCTCCAACCAATGAGACCATACGTTGTACCCTTGGAAGAGTGAAATGAAAACACTATGGGAGAGTGTAGTCGTATGCTAGTTGGGAATTGGAGATCTCAGATCGTGGAACGGCCTTATTAAAGGTGGTAGAGACGTATAGTGCCTCAAATTTCTGTTTAACAGCTTATAAACTGCAGTATTTAGTTGTGCGTTACATATGACTGAACAACCTAGATTCGTTTTGCCAAAGGCTTGAGTTACAATAGGTGAAATTTTATGAGTTCGATGGATAGATGACTGTCAAACATTTAGTCAGAAAGACATATTTTTTCGTAAAATTTCAAAAGCATGTCTGAAACTGTTTCTGGTTCGGCTGAGATTGACACTTCATTAAATGAAGTTATTTGTAAGAGGAAGGAAGTTAGAGACACAATAAATATGCATCCATTTCTCTGATGACATTTTCTAGGGTTGAACCGGGATTGGCGCCAAATGAAGCATTCGTAATAACCTCAGAAGGCTTTTAAAGCTTTCAAAGTTTCTTCTCTGCTCTAAACTCCCAATCTTATCGCTGTTTAAATAAGAAATACTTTCATGAGTCTGTGCTTGAAGAACGAAAAGTTCAGTATATCGAAGAGATATAACTTTTAGGTGGTGCTATGAAAACACCCCCTACGTAATTAAAAAAAGCCTTTAGATTCTCTCATTAAACGACAGTCTATTGGTATTCTGTTCGCAAAAAATATCTTGTTACCGGAGTAATCTGTCGGTTTCTTAGTTTTTAACCAGTTACTTCATTTAAGATGGAAAATCGCACTCATGACTCCACTACACTTGGGGCAACTTGTCTCAAAGATTTTCATTGCTTTTGCGAGCTATTGAAAATATTGAATTGAAAAGCATCTGTTCCTTATCAGTTGATTTTTCTTTCTGTAAGGTTGTTGAAAAGCAGTATCATCTTATTCTTTGAGGATTACTTTAAATTGTTTGTTTTCCGTCTGTTCCTCTAAACTGATTGTCCGTTTTGACAAAACTGTAGCTCTAAGGTAAAGATAAAAAGGCTTCTATTACTAACGGAAAGATAATAAAGTTGAAATCGATGCTGCGTAACTTACAAAGTCTTAATGAAAATTTGTTTAAGCAGTCATCAGAATATGGTGTAGTTATTGCCTAGCATGAAGTCTACACTCAACCTAGACAACAATAAAGTTAATAATTATTTCAAGAGGATGTCGTGACAGTGTACAACTAGTAATATTTCACCTTTTTTATGCGTTTCCAAAGGTTGGAAAGATTCGCATATTTTTATTACAACCTAATAATCAGAATATATTAAATTAAATTTCACCCTTGATCCTGATATACAGATGTATTATAATTCTAATTTTACTACTTTGTCAAAAACCAAACGAAAAATCTATGATTTTGAATACCTTCAAAAATTATTGTTTATCATTTACCGTTATCCAGGATGACTTAGACGCTTTCATACCGAACGCGAATATCAATGAAACTCAGACAGGTTTACCACCATTTTCCATGGAGCAGCTTAAAAAAAGAATCGTAAATTTACACCTACCCTATGGCACAAGTGTATTCAGCCTCCAGTTACCCAATTATCAGCCTCGATTTGGATATCGAAGATCAGGAATAGTTCTCCGACAGGCTGTGATCAAAGGAGAAGTAGAAAGTTTGTTCATTGCAGGTGTAGAACATGGTAGTCCAGCAAGCAAGTGAGTGTCTTATTCGTAAGATCCTTATTCGTATGCATACCATACATTTGTTTGCTCCCAAATTTCTAACTCTTTTGTAGTATTTTTTTGATTACAGATCTGCAGTTGCTGTAAACTCAACGCATATGATTTTATTGGTTGTTGAATTTTAACTGGGTTTACCAGTAATGATAAGTAGTGGCTAGTAGTGGAATCCTGGACAGGCATTCGGTCCTATGTGAGACTCATCTTTTGAATTTGCCCGCCTCCCAGTGAGTGACGTTCCTCCCACTGAGACTCAAGCTGAGATTAATCGCTTCAAACACCATAGCGTTGTCCAATATGCTACTTAGTCACAATAGCCAATAATGATTACTAGTTTTCTTCACTAACTCAGGCAGTCTTAAGCAGTTGGAGAAAGAGTGGATTGAAACTTGAGCGAAGGAGGTTGCATCAGATTTAGCTTGATTCTATCAAACAGGTATTTAACTTGATGATAAATTTCAAAATAAATGGCTTCATATATATATATATATATATATATATATATATATACATGAGGTGAACTCACCATATATCGAAAAGACAGTTATTAGCTTGAGTTTACTCGAAACCTTAGAGGACTACTTAAATTCTGGCGCCAATGATGATTTATTTCACTGTGATTAGACAAAATCTCAGTCAAAGGCATATCGTAAAGATTTTAAACTATTTTATAGGACATAGTGAGCAAGAAAATCGGACGTACTTCTTTTCATCTACGACTAATAAATATAACTTATTGTCTTGTATTCAACGTAATGTTTTTTCATATAATATTTCAAGCAAAGCTTTTCACTACTAAGATTTCTTTGACTTGAAACTCAATTTAGAAGCTTTGTATTAACCTGGTGTTAGTGCTCAGGGATACTTGATAAGCATTTGTATAATTGGTAAAAAAACCTTTTACTTACAGATTTTAAATCTTAAGCTAGGAAAGTATTTGTAGCTCCAAGTTTATTCCTTTCCGCTTTTAACCGTTATTGGTTTCGATTTTAAAGTACGCATGGATGGAATGTCAAATTACACTTATTCAACTTATTTTACAACGTAATCCACCCTCTTTCATAGAACAAGATTTGGTTTACAGCATCTCTGTTAGGATCGTAAGAGTTAAAACTGGTAGAATTACAGGAAAATTGGTAAAATGCATTACTTAGGCTGGAAGTTTCTTTTGTTTTATTGCTCATCTTCTATCTCATAATATTCGAGAAATATAAAACATGCGACTTCATGCAGTATTTATTGCAATACTGCAGTCCAATTTAATTTATACAAAAGACCAAGCGAATTATCTAAATGCCAGGTTACTTCAGTTCAGTGGTAGAATGAAGTTTACATTAGAATGAAAGGCATAACGCTTTTTGAAGTATAAATACTGAAGTACTCAGGGTAATTTAGTTGGTTGTGGCTAGCAAAGGAGTCCAGAACGCACGTTTCGTCCTATTTGGGACTTGCCAGCTGGATATATCTGCACCCCGTTGAGAGATGATCCCACCGAGACTCGGATCTCTTACCCATAGCTTCGGACTCCAAGGAGCTATCCTCTTTGCAACGGAGGAACGATAGCCACTTCATGCACGACAGGTAGTAGTTAATACTATTTATTGATGTACTTATAATTCTCCGTTATTTTATTGGATCGAACTGTTCGACCTCTATTGAGAACAACATCACCCACTGGGGTTCAGGTATATCCGGCTGACGAGTCTCAAATAGGACGAAACGCGCGTCTGGGATTCCTCTGCCAGACACAACCAGCCAAATTACCATAGTTAACACTCAGGTAATACTGAGACGTTCGCATATGAGCCCATATTCCAATAGAGGTCGAACAATTCGGTTCAATAAAACAACGTGGAATACAAATATACCAATAAATAGTAATAAGTGAAGTACTCACTTTGAATGTTTTTTCGGCTTGCAACGGAATAGCTTGGTGATAACAATTGATTTTGACAAACAGTTATTTTTTGCGTATATGAGGGACTCTGCAAATTTCCAAGTGAAGACATTCTAATTAGTTTTATATGTATTCGTTTTAATATATTTAGTTATTAGTTAATGATATTCTTTGTGTCTGAAAATTTAGTGAATTTTTATGAATGACAAATAAATAAAGTTTGTATTTACCTCATATTCTGTGTAGAAAATTCGACAAAATCAAAGTGACAACATGAATGTGAATATCCTTTTAAGTTGGTCGCACTTAACTCTTTTTAATGATAAGTTTGGAATACAGTGAAAAGATTCGTGTGGGGTAAGGTTCACAGATGGGAGTATGTGTGTATGAAATTTGATGCAAACATGAATACCTTTTTGTGTCTGTATTGATTTCACATCAATGGTCAATGCTATGTGTTTCAACTATATTGGATTCAGCTTTATCATCCCTCCATCACTGCAATATAAAAGAAGTAATTCCCAATAATGGAATAGCTTTTACAGCTTGAAGAATATGTTTGGAACTACTCGTTTGGTTAAATGACTTGAATAAATGAAAGATTTTGAAAATTATCCTTATTTTACTAATATACTTACTGCTTCCCACCGGGTATTCATCAGATAGGCAAGACATGTACATTATGCGCAGTTGATTGACATATAATTTGGTTTGACATCAATGCATTAGATAATATATTGAAGACTTGTGGCGTGGAATAATGTTTTGTTAGTATTATACTATTCAAGCTAGATGGATTCGCAGTTTATACTTCAGCTTCAAAATGGAAAGCGAACACAGAGCGATTGCATACTGAAACAAAGCTAGTGTATTTCTCATAAAAAATTAGATCATTCCTTCCAAAATATTTGATGCAACTTAGATATGCCTAGGAATGAGTAATTAATGCATTTCTGTGATATGATATGTTGAATAATGTATTTTCGATGTGATCTTCTGAGGTAGTGGTGGTTCGACAGACTGGTACTACTGTTATGGGGCGATAAATGAAAGTTAAATAAAACATTGTTCATTGTACGATTCAAACTAATGGCTCTCTGATTACAGACCTGGCTCTTGAAGAGTAGACAGTTTCGCACCATGCAACTGTATGATGGTCGAACAAAGCCTTTGATATTAGCTCTGAAGTCAAGACTTGGTCAGTAGATGGATTTCTTAGCTGAGAGGTTGCTTAATCAGAGGTAGGGTCACCACTGGTTTGAATCCTTAAATCATGGCATCGTATCAGAAATAATCTATTGGTTGAAGTCATTTAAATGGACGCATTGGTTTTCCTTAGGATTCAGAGCCGCACTCATAGTATTTTCCTGGTGACTTCAGAATTTGCCTTGTTCAATATTTAGAACGGTTGTCAGTCGAAATCGTGTTCATATCTAATAAAATAAGATGTAGTATATGGTGAATTTTTGCTGATAAGCTGCCTTCACACATATGTCATTGAGGGCGATGATCGTTAAAAATCGATTGGCTTTCTGAACTAAGCAACGGAACTGGTGAATAACTTTGGTTTTGTTGTATCCTGAAATTCCAGTTTTAGTTCTTTATGGGACTAATAACATTAATTCCGTTGTTTTATGCTCAATATGTATTCCATTGGACCTTAAAAGCCAATTACTATGAAAATGCGTGAACGTTTTTATGCTTAGCAGTAATTACTTGTTTATGATAGTCTGATTTAGCATTTTTTCGGTGAGACTATGGAACTTGAACATTTATGTGCGGTATAAGTTTATATCAGACTTATTTATGGGAAGTAAATCATAGCGATATATCAACTAACATTAAACAGGTATTTTTTTCGTAGCAGTGTGTGTTATGTACAATAATCAACTCAAATACTGAATAACCTCAGGATAAATTTACCATGATTTGTGTTGCATTGTGGTTTTATAGCTTTTTCAGCTTCGGTGCATTCGTTTTTCTAATTAATCTTTAACCTAGCTTCTTGCATATTCAGTGGGATACTTTGATTTAAAATTTGTTACGCGCTGATGAATAATTTCGAAATTTATATATAAGTTTATTTCAGTGACAGTTTCATTGAAGACACCCGAAGCAGCATTTGGTAGTCACTAGTAATTTTTAAAAACAAGTTACACCAGGCTATTCTTTAGTACTAAAAGATTCCTTTGTTTGTAAAAATCATCTACGTCGCACTTTAAGCTTTTGTTTTTCACTACTGTCTTCTTGAATTTAGTGATTCTTTGTTGGTGTACGTTTAATCTCCTACCAATACTGAGTGTACCTGCAATGTGAGTTTACAAACATCCATGAACTGGGAAGTTACTGAAAATTACTGCATTTTGCGTATCTGTCACTAAAACCTTTAAGAGTGTTTACCATAAGCTCCACAGAAAATTTAAGGTGATTCCGGATGTTTTCTGAATGGGTATTGTCATCCTGTTATATTGACTATTGAGGTATCCCATCCCTCAATAAACCCTAGATATCATTATTTTTCAGCACAGTTATATACATCTTTCACTTATAATTTTCCTATGTACCTTAGGGTGAGAAACTATTGTTGCTTCAAGTAATACGTGAGTAGTATCTATTCGTATACTGTAGGTGGATTAGGATTATCTTACCCATCGTCTGCTACAATCACTTATAACTATAAGGGCCAATATGCGTTCACATCGAGACAGTTTTTTGGTTTAAGATTGATACTTTTCAGAAAGAGGTGATGATGAAACCAACTTGTGGCAGAGAGTCATCATGAATCTGCTGGGATGATATTCTAAAAGTGCCCCCTAGATGCGTTTTTGCACAGCATAGCCTAGGTACTTATGCATTGAAGCTTCTTTCTGCAATGATCATACATTTACTTCTTACGTTTGGCAGAAGGCTTTGTAGTTCTAAGTCCTTACCACAAATATTGATATTAGTGACTAGCAGAGGAATCCAGCACGTGCGTTTCATTCTATTTGGGGCTCGTCAGCCGGATGTACTTGCACCTCACTAAGTGACGTTGTTCCCCTTGAGGATCGAACCCAGTGCTCACCACTTCAAACTTCAA